GGTGTGATGTTTTTGTTTCTTCACGTTGTCCGCTTCTTATTGCTGCTTTTCCTTTCGGTCTCCAACAGATTGTTTTCCCCCCCTTCTAATATCAATATTGTTTTGTTTGTAGCTACAAATTCTTTTAAAATTTATGAAATAAGGGTTGCATCTATAGTTATAAAACCTTAATTGTGGCTCCACTATGTTCTTATTATAATCCAGCTAAGCAGTATATTGATATAAATTTGGCATCTTAATTATATTAATTTTGCAATTGGTTTTTTTAGTTTCAGATTTTGATTATTTTCCTTCCATTTTAATGCGTTTCATGCCCATACATAAAAAGTAATTCTAAATAATGGATAGAATTATAAATTTATATTAAAAATATTAAGGTTATATACTAATACTATAAAAAAAAATCGATTAGCTACGTGAATGGTGTATTTAGATACATAAATTTTACTTGTTTGTTAATTCGAGCTTAATTAATTAATAATTGGATTAAAAACTTGAATATCATGATAATAAAATAACTAGTTAAAATTAAATTAATAAGATTATTTTAACTTTTTTTTAAAGACTTCAACGCTAGTGGTAATAAAAGTAAAAAAATGTTGTGGGGATTGAATAATTGCTCTCAAGAAATTATCAAAATATATGATAATTTTAGAATTGATATTTTTATATAATTTGAGGGTGATTAAAATTTCGGTTTCAAACATAATCTAAGAAAAATATTCAATCCCCCTGCTCATGTTATTTTAACACATGTTTGGAGGTTCAACATGTTAAATTCGAAACGGATGCTCTTGAGGTTATGAAAATTCCATTCCAGGCTCTAGCGGAAGTGTCTTGGTAGTTACTATTAGGGTTGCACATAATTCGGATTTCAATCCGATCCGGATCGATTTTTATCCGATCCGGTTTTTTCCCATAGAAAAAAAACCGGTTTATAAAATAACCGGTTCGGTTTCTAACCGGTTTGGAGGGCCGGATATCCTAACCGGTGTAACCGGTTTCGGTTTTAAAAAATCGGTTTTTTTAAAAAACCGGTTATAAAAAAACCGATTTTAATATTCCAGATTGCTCATAGGGAACCGATTCCCCCCCAAGGGGTACCGATTCCTCACTGAATGGTTTGGCTCCGAGATTTCCAGAATGCTCGGAGGGAACCGATTCCCCCATAGGGGTACCGATTCCCCCTATTCAACGGTCGAAATATTTGAATTTTACACTTAGGGAACCGATTCCCTATGAGAGGAAACCGATTCCCTATGAGAGGGTACCGATTCCCCCATGCTCTAAGCATTTTTATTAAATGTTTTCACACTTAAACGGCTATATTATCTTCATTAATTATCACTAACGTTCAGAAGTGATTCAAGGTGTATTTAAGCAAGCTTAGAAGCCATTGATCAAAGACAAGAAACATCAAGCAACTAGAATCAAGAGAGAATCAAGAGAAAGCATCAAACCTCAAGTTCGATAAATTCAAATACTTAATTGAAATACTTAATTAACTCAACATAATTGAAATACTTAAATACTTCCAAGTTTGATAAATTCAAATACTTAAAAACTTCCAAGTTCGATAAATTCAAATACTTAAAAACTTCAAGTTCGATAATTGAAACAAAGTTTACGATAATTGAAATAAAGTTATAAAATAAACTACATTGCCATCTCTTCTTCATCATCTTCGCCTTCTTCGTTTGGAGGGGATATTCCAAGTTCGACTTCTTCAATGTGTAAGTTTGCTTCCAAATCGGCATCAATTGCATCTTCTAGGGTGGTGATATGTTGCTTACAAGCCGCTCCATCCAAATAATCCTTTAAACAAATGCATACTTCCACCGACTCGGGACTTAGTCTTGATCTCCGTTGTGATATAACCCTGCCACTAACAGAAAAAGCGGATTCCGAAGCTACCGTAGAAGCTTGGACGGTTAGTAAATCACGGGTCATGGCGGCTAGAATCGGAAATTGTGCTTCCTTTTCTTTCCACCAAGCCAAAATATCTAAACTTTCAAACTCTTCAAATGTCATTTTTGATAGAAAATCGCATGACATGTAATTTCCCAACTCGCTACTTGGGGTGGTAGTACGTGATCGTTTGGATTGGAAATTTACAAGAGTGTTAAAAAGATTCAAATTTATGTTACTTGGACGTCTACTAGATGATTCCGCATTCATTCTCATTTGATCGTGTATTACACTACTTGATCCGTATTTAGTTAAATAAATTGCAAACATGTCTCGAAAACATTTGTTAAAATAATTTATTTGGTTTTGGACAAAGTTGGGTTCATCATCGGTTAGATTAAAAGCAAACGCAATTTGTTCAATTAGTGTTTCAACCCCACCAACATTTAACGTTGGTTTAAAGCGGCGGCACAAGTAAAAATGGGGGGAATCTCCTTAAAATATTTTAAAAGTTTTTCCTTCATTGCAAAGCCAATTTCTTGAAAAACTTCGGTTTCAAATTCAAAGTCATTTAGTCAGGTAGCCAACAAAAATATTTGATTAAGAACCAACGGGCTAGTAGGGTAATAAACACCGGATAAAAAAGTTGTTGCATTTTTAAAAACCTCAAGCAAATCGGTTATTTTGGCTATAGTTTCCCAACTCGAATCCGAATAAATGTTTGGGACATGACCCCTCTAGAAAAGCCGATCGTGAAATGTTTGCAATGTTTCCCTTTGCCTTAAGGCAGTATGCATCATCATCCAAGTTGAGTTCCAACGAGTTGGACAATCCAAATTAGGACCCAAAGCTTTTTTATTAACAGACTTACAAAATCGTTTATAATCATTTAGTCTTTTATTGTTGTTACAAAGAATCGATTTTATCATTGTTTTAAATTCTAATCTAATTGGCTCAATAACCTCCAAACCGGCTTGCACGGATAAATTAATTATGTGTGCAACGCAACGGGTATGAAAAAATGCACCGTCTAAAATCGGTGAAAGTAATATTTTCAATCTTGGAACCGCGTTTGTATTATTCGATGCATTATCAAAGGATATAGAAAAAACTTTATTTTCTAATTTATAAAGACAAATTACCCGTTTTAAAAGTGTAAATAATTAGCACTGGTATGCGGCTCACCGAATAATTCAAACGCGATTGTTCTTTTCATCATTTGCCAATTATCTTGATCTAACCAATGTGACGTAACGGCTAAAAAAGAATTTCCGGTATTATGAGGGGAACTCCAAACGTCACATGTAAGCGACACACCATAACGGTGTTCTTGGAATCCTAAAATCATTTTTTCCCTCGCCGTACGCCACATTTTTATAGCATCTCTTCTAAGGGTAGTACGACTTACTTGAGTATAACGTGGTTGCATTAGTTGTTGAATTGTTGTCGTGAAATCTTCATCATCAAAGTGGTCGAACGGCAATGCTTTTGTAATCACGAACTTTGTAAACGCTTCTCGTAATTTTTCGTTGTCGTAAACAAAAACACCACCTTGCGGTGTAAGATTCGATTGACTAGGATCCGATCTTGAGCGAAGTGCCTTGCATGATTTTGTCAAATGGTTCTTCAACGTTGTGTTTCCTTCCGATGCAAGAAACTTTAGACAAAGTTTACAACGCGCCCTCCTCGAGCCATTTGACATCTCACATAAATCGTAGTGATCCCAAATATCTTTGTTTCGAGTGTGTTCGATCACTCTCACGACTTCAAGGTTTCCCCCGACGGAAGATTCAGCAGTGTTACTCATGATGAACAAAAAATTACAAAACTAAGATTTGAGAGATGTTTAAATGTTGTGTAATAAGATTTGAGAAAGTTGTAATCAACCAAATACATCCCCAACCTATTTATACATGTTTAGGGTGGTAAAATGGTAATTTTTTAAAGAAAAAAACGGTCAAAAACGGTCACAAACGGCTATATTAACGGCTAGTTTTTTAAACCCAGACCGATTTTTTTTCCCGGATAAAAACCGGTTTTTTAACCGGTTTTTTTCAAACCGGTTTTTTATCCGGTAAAAAAACCGGTCTGGGTTTTTTCCTCCAAACCGGTTAAAATAACCGGTTTAAAAAAATCCGATCCGGTTAAAAAAAACCGGTTTTTCCCAAATCCGGTTTCGGATATTTTTTTCGCAAAATCGGATATTCGTATTTTTTGTGCACCCCTAGTTACTATCTCCGAACATCGTGATCGAGATTGGGTTACAAAATTCCGGCATGTATATCATGAACAAAACACTGCTGCACATCGATCGGCTGCATTGAATCGTGGTGCCTCCATTGGTACAGTTGAGTTCATGAAACCTCTGGTGGAGCTCTCTGTCATCTTACAAGAGGATTTGCATTCTAGTTGATTACTAATTGTTTCTGTGTTGGCAAAAAACATCCATTCTATATAAATTTAAATTTAAGGCTAGAACTACTAGGGTTAAATTAAGACTATTTAATACCTTTAAATAAGTAAAATTCAAATGGATTTTACAGCCAACATTATTATTTATTTTTCCTTTAAAGACTATTTACTAGGTTGAGATAAACTAACAAAGGCAAAGTAAGGGAACATGCACATGCAGAATAAACCAAAGGGGCCGACAGGGACCATCGTTTTCCTAAAAAAATTAAATTATTATATGATTTTTTTAATATTTTATATTGTTACTATATTTTTCTCTTAAAATTTTATAAGTTTACCCCTAACATAAATTCTTAGGTATGTCTTTGTGCGTCCTTGTGCACTGCAAACTTCCCAATTTGAACTCCCAGTGAGGATGCTGCAAATCACTAATAAGAAATTGAAATTGGGCAAAGCTAATCCTCTATCTAGTGAAACACAAATTGCAATGAATTCTCTAATGTATAGATCTACTAACAGGTTTATGATACTTCTCCATGACACTCTTCACCGCGCTTAACAAAAACAGGTTACAGAAATTCCAATTGCGAAATCAAACTAACACAACTGCTAGAGGTCAAAGACACAGATATATGAAAACATGTTTTCTATATTGCTCTACCAATGATCACTGATCACTGATCCTCATAACCCCCACAATCTTTTTCAATTTCCCTCCTTAACAACTATACTGCCATTAGATTTCACTCTACATGAACCAATCGGTGTCCTTCAATCATGTAGTTGGCCGTTGATGTCATTGCTATATTGTCTTCTATCCTTCCACCTGCAAGGTTATAACTGATTTGTTTTTCCATCGATCAATCGAGAACTCAGTCATGTTCATAACAATTCTATGGCTAAAGCTAGTTCAACATTAACACAAACACAAGCATCTCAAAGCAGCCCAGGGTACCCCACCCATCTTCATGCCCATCGTTTATCACATTTATAGTAACTAATTAAACTTTGCAGAAAACCAGAGAAACTGAAAACACTCTCATCTTGTCCAACAGAACAACAAAGAACATGTTGTGTAAACCAAACCGCAAAGAGTGGCTGTCTTGATCTTGTGTTTCAGTTCAAGGTCCATAAATCAATGCTTCCCAAGCGTTCTAAAAAAATGAATCTGCACCTCTCTTTCTCTCACAACTACAATAAAAAAGGGAAAGTTTTGGATGTAAAGGAATGGTAAACACCAAGCATAGAGCAAAATAAAGAGATTGGTATAATCATAAGGAAGATGTTTTCAATCAACTATCCAAGCAACGGAAACCAAAACAGTTTTGAGATTTTAGACACAACAGCAGCATCAATCTTGTTATTCCCATAAATTTGAGTACAATTACTACACTAAGAATTAGCAAATTTAGCACTGTGTAGTGTAGTACTACCCAACATACCAATCCCATTCACTCATACCCTGAGAATCTGAAGCTTGGTGGAGAAGGCGATGGCGACCCAATCAGGCTGGGAAGATGACCACTGCAACTGCTCGATTTCGGCTCCAGCGGTGTAGGCGAGGATCGGGTCAAGTCCACCCTCCACAGGCTGACTCATGGAGGACAAGTCCCAAATCAAGGCCTGGGAATCATCACCAGCGGTGCAAATGTGGCAAGAGCTGTGGGGTGCCCAGGCTATGGCATTGACACTAGCCTGGTGCCTCTGCAGCTCAACCACCGGCAGTGTAGGGAAGCGGATATCCAAAACAACCACCTTAGCACTGTCCATAATTATAGTGGCCATGTATCTTGGGTCCTGTTTGTTCCACCCCAACCGTACAAGCGGAGTATCGGGCTCCGAACTCTCATAAATAATAGTGGAGTGCTCCTTGTCGCGAAGGTCGAAAACCCTAACGGACCCATCAGCAGAAACGGAAGCGAAAACACCAACGCCGCCCCAGGCGATATCATAAACCTCTTTATCATGGGCAATAAGCTGGGTATCCACCGTTTCCTTCTCGATATCCCAGATAGTACAAGTGGTATCAATTGAGGAGGCTCCGATTCGCTTGGGCTCCGCCTCATTCCAGTCGAAAGAGGTAAGAGGGCCGCAGAACTCACTGTTCTTGTTGCCATTAAGGAGGGACTTGAGGTCGACGCGGGAGTGATCATCGGAGATCCTCCATATGCGGAGGAAGTCAGAGGAAGTGGCGAGAAGATCGGGTTTCTGGTACTCCTTGTCGGGGATGAAGATGGTCTTGGTTGGGGGATAGGGATGATCGAAGGAGAGGTTTGGGTCGGATCGGATCTCGCCGTTGGAGTCATCGAGCTGGACAATCTCAAGGCGATTAGTGTACTGCTCAAGAAGGCTGGCGATAGCGAGACGGTATTTCTTGTCGCGGCGCACACTCCAGTTCATGGCGTAGATGTGCCAGGGCGCCTCGTAAGTGTATATCTCCGATCGTTTTTGTTGCTCATCGGAACCCTCAGGGTTGGGATCGCTGCTAGCGGCCATCTTCGGCGGCGATACCATACAACTGTTACTATTCGTATTGGATTAATTGAAGCTTATAGAGGATAAAGTCTGCCATTTTCGTTTCCTTTTCACTTGAAACCAATTTTTTTCCTTTTCTTTATCACTTTAATTACAATAAAATAAAAAAAATAAAAAGTAAATGATTGAATACGCGCCTGATATAAAGTTATCTGTATTATTTTGCGAAAACTACACTTTTGGTCCAAACTTTGAAGGTTCTTTACTTATGAGTCCTACAACTATGAAAGTTTATAAAATGATCATCTGATTTTAACAAACCGACAGTTCACGTGTAATTAATGAAAGGATAAACAACAGCATGATCACTTAACTATTGAGATTTTCAATTTAACCAGAAATATTTTAATTTTATAAATTATGTCATTTGGTTATTTAAATGATATTAATTATGTCATCTATAATCAATATTGGATGTACGAACTAACATGATAGCTAATAAAACTAATATAATTACATGTGTTACCATCTAATTGACGATCAATATTTAATTTTATTAATTTTTTAACTATCAGATCAACCTTCTATCAAATGTTAACATATACTTAATTGGTATATTTCTTTATCAATTTTTTTAAAAAATGAAGATTATGGTTTTGGTGCACCATCCCTTTTTATACTAGCATCCTCCCATAATTAAGTGATCATAAGTATAGTTTACCCTTAAATTTTATATATTTTAAATTTAAAAATTTAGTAATCAATACTCTAGTATTTAATCAATTTAATCCCTAAAATCTAAAAAGTCTAATTTGAGATAAAAGCAACGAGAGAAAGAGAACAAGTTTGTGCAGTAGAAGGGGATTTTTCGTGGAGTTGGTAGATAAATGGTTGGTGTAGATAAAGAGGTGAAGAACCCGAGAGTCTTATTTTCTTTATGATTGAAGGGAATTTATAAAGCGTGACATTTAATCGTTAGATCTTATATTTTGTCTTTGTCTTAGTAAATTAATTTGACATATCAAAAGTCTTAGATATTTTATTCATCTACTATGATGGAATTAAGGACTTTGAAAAAATATTTAAAATTTATTATTTAGGTATAAACACTTAAAAAATAGGATAATTTATACATATGGTCATTAATGTTTGAGTAAGTCTTCGTTTTTCACACTAAAAGTTTAAAAATAACAAATTGATCACTAATGTTATCCATTTATAACAAATTAATCACTCGTCATTAACCGTCGTTACTGCAGTAACGAAATACTAACCTGGCTTGTTAAATCATCTGACTTAACACTCTTCTTCTTCTTCTTCTTCTTCTTCTTCTTCTTCTTCTTCTTCTTCTTCTTCTTCTTCTTCTTCTTCTTCTTCTTAGGGTGGGGGAGCTAGTTAACAAATTGTTCTTATTCGTAGTATTGTTAAGCTGCCATCAACGTTATTTTAAGCACATATCATTGGAAGTAAATTTACTAGAAATAAACCCAAGCAGTTGAAAAATCTTTAATCAGAAACTAGTACTTAAAGTGAGGTTCAACATTTGTCATATCTCTCAATCTCCTCAACATCCGGAACCATTCACATGAACAGAATGAAGCTGAATGATTTTTATATACTCGGGTCTATCACATGCCTGCATTTGGCATTGATCACTTGGAGTTTACTAGCTTCCAAAAGACTGGCCCTAACCAGATTACTCACTAAAACTAGGATTCAACCAAGGGTAGTTCAAACAACATATATAAATGATTTGTAACACCTCCAATTTAGGGGCTAAATTTAAGAAATTATAAAGTGGTGAATTTAATTGGTATTTTTGGAAGAAATTGGGGGATTAAATTGTAAAATTTTAAAGTTGGCAGACCGTTTTAAGAAGTGCAGGAAATTGAGTGACTAAACCCATAATTTAACCATTTTTTTATATATGTTGAATTATAAATCTCCCCCGTCAGTTTCCAGAATGGTTTTCTAATTTTCTCCTCTCCAACAACCCTTCTTTCAACTCCGATCTACTCGCCGTCCAATCTCCAATCGACGAGCCGAAACCACCATCGTGTTCGTTGTCGAGCGAGGAACAAAACCCCTCAAACCTTTCGTCGTGAATCGTCGCCGTTCGTCGTTAATTTCAATCGGAAGTATTGTCGGTAATAACTCAATTTCAATTGGTTTTTCGTCGATTCACGACGATCCGATGATCCGTTTACGACACCTCCCGCACCACCGTGTTTCTTGCATCGTTTCGAGTACGCCGGTATCATCCTTGGTCTCCATCGACGGTGACGTGTAAGGAGGTGAAGCGGTTAAAGTTTCCGATTCGTTGAAATCGAGCTCTCCGCCGTTCAAAAATTTGAACCGAACTTTGTAAGTATCTCGAAATTGCTTAAAATAATTTTTAGGAATTTTCCGACATCAAGGTACTGTTCACGTGCCCCCACGCGCTGCCACTGCGGGTGGGGAAGGCAAAAGTGATCGGTTTTACTGGTTTTGGAACTGTTTTGATCGGTTACAACCCGACTCGTTTACCCGACCCATTGACCGTTGACTGGCGTTGACCACTATTGACCAAAACTTTGACCGGATTTGAAATGACCTTTGAATTTGACCGAGTATACCTATCCTGACATTTTTCGACGTTCCAAATCCGATTCCGCAGTCCGTTTTTCGAAATTCAGACCCGAAGGCTTCGAAATTTCCAGTCAAACTCGTTGACTTTGATTTTGATCGAAAATTCCAAATTTTTGAAAAGTCATATTTTATGCTTTTGACGTCCTGAATCCGAATCCGAAGTCTGTTTCGCCAAATTCAAACCCGGTAAGCTATTTTTCACTGATTTATCACCCGATTCGATCCGTTTATCGTAATTAAACTCCGTTTTTTATGTAATTTCTGTTGGTATGAATCCGAGGAAATATTGGAAGATTATTTTAAGATCGAGGGCGTTCGAATGGAATTTTATGGTCGATCAGTATTGCACGAAAATTGAGGTAATACTTTACTACCTCTTTATACTTTATGGAACATGTGAATATTGGTAAATGCATGAATAAGATAATATTGGTCTCATATGTGTAGTTGATTAATTTCTATACTTGATCCAAATACGATAAAAAAATTCGGTAACTGATTATGGTTTAGATGACTTTTATAAGAAATTGATGGATTGTTAGAATTAAAATTACAAGTTCTGTGTATAGTTATGAAGGAATCAACTTGGATCTGTAACATTTATTTCATCAAAGGTACTTGGATATGAGAATATTTCGGTAGAGTAAAATTATGAAAATACCCTTATGTTTTAAGATGACAAAAATTGTCCCTGGAAGTTGATTAATAACTCTGAAAGGATATATTGATCTGATAAAACTATAGATGTGCATAAGAAACGCTAGTTTGCTTTGAAAATTTGGATAACCAGTTTTTAACCCAATAGGGTTTATGCAAGATACTAGAAGTATGTTAATCAATCATTTCAAGATCCGAGAATGTTCAGGTAAGCAATTAAGCATAGAATCTTTGAACTATATTTATTTTCGTTAAGAGTTGTTACCAAAAGTATGTGGGTGCGAAATTACAAAAATGTCTTTGAGAGTTGAAAATAGTCCAAGTTGACTCTGAATGAGAGAGTAACCTGAGAATTTGTTTTTAAATCGATAAATTACTGATTTGATTGTTGGGATCCTACCTTTATATGGAAAATTTCTGAAAATTCGTTAGTACCATTTGAAAAGATATTTAACCTGGAAATTATTGAATAGAGTAAATACCTGAAGAATGATTTATCGAATGTGCTCTTTGGTTAGAATTGTTTGAAATGACTGAAGTAAGTGATAAGATTAAATTAAATAATAAGATCGGACGTAAGGAAATGATGGAAATACACTGGATCTGTAAAATGACCAAAATACCCCTAGAATGGAAATGACTCAAGAATGTCACCAAGCTCAGGAATGAATGGATATACTCAAGTTTTGAAATAAATAGAAAAACATTGAGCACCAAAATGACCAAAATGACCTTATGACCTAGAATAAGTAAATGCATTGGATTAATTAAGAAATCCAAATAAACATGGATGTTGTGCTACCAGTAAAAGTTATGGAACGCAGCTTAAGTGATCAACCAACGCTAGTGCTATATCATTACCTGAACGATATAAGTACCACCTGAATGTTTGTTCATCTTCTCAAATTTGGATCGATGATAATTCTGGAAGTACTTGGCTCAACTCAACTCTAGAGCGTATACAGTACTAATAAGTGGGTATTCGTGAGACAAATCAACCACGAATACCAGAATGACTTTATAATATGACTAAATTGAAATGAAAGGAAGTACAACATGTATTTGAAATTCAGAAACGTCTGAATTATTCTGGAAAACTCTAAAGTAACCGGAATATACTTGCTTACTAAACGAACTAAGTAACCTCAATGACTGAGGATTAAATAGGTGATTGGATGAGTTTGGAAACACCTTTGAACTTACATGATGAATTGTCCTTATGGGTTATAAACCATGAATCAAGTACGTCCATATTTCCTGATATCGTTGAAACGTGGAAATGAAATAAAGACCGTTGGAATATCTATTCAGCGATGATTATGGGGATGATCTATGAATCTGCATTATGGTATTAAAGAGTGAATACACTGGAAGGATAATGAATTGACTTGTTGATATGCATAAGTTTGGGAGTTGTGTAACTCGAGTTGTTTGATAATACGATCGATAGTCATATATTGTAAATGTCTTGAATCTTCGATTTTATATTTTCATCTAAAATCACTTATGTCATGTTTGAAAACGCAAGTAACGCAGAAGGAAAAGATTCTGAATACCTCATTTGGTTCAATTGGGCTGAAATCCTATGAATTCAAAGTATATTCCTGAATACCCCTGATTGTTTGGGTAATGGAATCACTAGCAGTAAATCTGAATTTAGAATTATTATGTATAAAGGTTCCTAAACGTTTTCCTGATGCACATGGAAACTTAGTGGAATTCTAAAGTATCAATCTGAAATGTCTGATTAGATCAGTTAGAAATCGATTCTCTTCAATAAGATCTTATTCCTGAAATCCGATCAAATTGCACAAGTTCATGTTATCCATATTGATAACTACAAAATGCATCTGAAAAATATTTGGATTCTTTAGTGTGTTCCTTATATTTTGAAAATTTGTTTTATTATTTTAACATGTGGTACACTGAAATCTATGGTTACTGTTTTATGGAGCACCGACTTAACGGTGATGGCTTATGGATTTGTATCATTTTATAAACTGTATCTTGGAGATACAAATTTGTAAAGTACAGCTCTGATCAAGCTGGAAAATTTTTATGGACCTAATGTGACTCTTAGGTAGGCTCTACGGCCCTGAGATCATTCTCGGGTAGGCCCTGTGGCCCTAAGATGTGTTCTTAGGTAGGCCCCGTGGCCTCGAACTTTCTTGGGTAGGCTCTCAGGCCCTAAGATGTTCCCTTAGGTTAACTCTTTGTACGATGGTTTTGAAAATACGAGTTTAAAAAGCTCTACTACAGTATGGTTTATGGGATTTACTGAACTATCATTTGATTAGTGTACCTATTATGAATTTATCGTATTGATGGAACACACTAGACATCCTATTCGACCTCATGAAAACATGATAGTATGAAAGGTTTCTTATGAACTGAGATTCATGGCTTCTACTCAATGAACTACTAATGGAACCCCAGATTATTCCGCAATTGGTATACGTTTGATTCAATAAGGAAATTATGACTTCCCATTTATTTGCATGTCATGTAGCATCATCTGGTAGTTCTGTATTACTGAGCTTTTCGAAGCTCACTCTATTACTCACCATTGCAGGTTAAAAGAATTGAACCAGTGTAGCTATCAACTTCCGTAAGGGAGTTCTTTCGGCGTTGTTGCAGAGTATGGTACATGTGTTTAGGGGGCATGTAATTGTATTTTGCTTTATATACAAGTCTGAAAATCTATTTTACTTCTGAATACTGATAAATGATTTTATAAGTTGCATGTTTTAATTAAAGTTTTAAATTTTCCGCTATTTTACAGAGGGTCGCTCCAGTGGCCCTAATATGACACTGCAGATCGGATCGGGCTATCCGCATCGATCTGAGGGGTTACATGATTGGTTGTGAAACCAGCGTTAATGGTGATACACTGAACACCTAAATAAGAATCTTTAAAGCAAAAAAGGTGTAGTCTTACGTGTTGAGCACTATTAAAAATAATAGAGATAGAAATTCCGTGAAACATTGTTATTTATGAGATATACAACTCTACTAGCTTATTTAAACTATAATTCATTCAAAACATGAAGAAAGTGAGCTTTATTTAGTGAAAGGTAAACAATAACTCAAATTGAGCCATCATTCTTCGAGGATAATGATAATTCACTCATAAAATTCATTGTGATTCTTTTCGAATTTTACTGAGACAATTTAATTGGTTGAAGAAATTCAGAAGTCAATTGATGTTAGGATCTAACTTGTTGATAAGTTAAACATCGAAATCCTTTTTCATGGTGAACAAAGAATGAGCTATCGAAGAATATCTACTTTGGGCTTAAAAACACATACTCTTTTGAAAATGAAGCATCATATTAGAGACTACCAAATAATGGCTTTAACAATCTTGTTCATGAATAACTCAGAGTTTTATCATTAGATTGCTGAAGTTTTATAATTCTCGAAGGGAAGACAGATCAGGTTCGAATTTCAACCAATAAGCTTTCATTCTTTTGGACTTGAAAACAGACATCATAACCTTTAGAGCTACAATTATGGGAATTCGAATTAGCTAAATAACAAGATAAGATTGGACTTGCAATGGTTAAAAATCAAAGAGGATTATTTAAGGATTTATATCCATAATAACATTTAACTTGCGTGAGTGATAATCTATCGACAGAGCATTAATCTTTAAGATTCTAATAAGTGTTCTATCGGAGATTCGATTGCTTCTTTCATAAGTTATTTAAGACTCTTTTTATGACTAATGAATAAGTAATATTTTTCATCGTAGAGATAATGTTTTCAAATCTTTAGGGCAAAGACAATGGCTGCCAATTTCAGATGAGTCAGATAACTAAGCTAATGCGACTTGAGTTATCGTAAAGTAAAATTACGACACCTTCTTGCATTAATACACAATCTAATCCCTGGTGTGAGACATCACTAACACAGTATAATAATTTTCACATTCATTTTGAGTTTTTAATTGGAGCATGAGTCAGAACTTGGTTAAGCTAGTTGAAACTTTATTGTTGGCTTTCTAACCACACAAATGGAGTGTCCTTTCAAAAAAAAATTAGTCAGAAGAGCAACCATCATAGAAATTTTCTTTATAAGCCCTGTATAATAACTCGCTAGGTTATGAATAATATAACTTCATTTACTTTATTTAAAGGTTTTTAATCTAATATTGCTTGAATTTTGTTTAAATAAACTTGAAAACCCCAATTGAGGATATATCTAGGTATTTTACACTAAAATTTAATGGAAATAACCTTTTTGTAACTTTCATTATTTGAGTAACCAATTTATAACATCTTATAGTTGGATGACTCTATTAACATTTATACTATAGTCGACGGACTATATGCATAGTTTACCCATATACATATTTTTCGTTTTTTTTTTTGTTGAAGGAAAGAAGGAAACTCGGGAAACATCAACAACCACAACACTTGACGAAGTTCTCCTTCTTCATCTTCAAAAATATATGCCTTTTTTCTTTACTCATTGCAAGGGCCTTTTTTTCTTTGAAGCTCTATTGTCTTTTCTTTTTCACAATTTATTATTTCTCTCCTAACCTTTAGGATTTACATTGATTTAGGATTGTTGGATGAGTAAAAATAGACGGTTGAGACTAACAGTAGGAAATGAGAATATATTTACTAGAAAAAAATAATGAATTAATCTCAACCGTCTATTTTTTCTCATCTAATGATCTTAAATTAGTGTAAAACTTTTAAATTTTACATTGTATAATTGGATCCTACCTATATATGGGTAAAAAAAAAGATTTAATCTCAACAATTTAGTTCCCCTCATCCAAAGATCTAAAATCAGTGTAAAACTAAAAAAAATTACATTGTGTAATTGGATCCTAACCCTATATAGATGGGACGGGTCTACTTACACTAGTTTAGAACTAAGTGAGTTTCACACACCTCCATAAGTTTTTCCACGATTGATATTTAATAATCTAACAGTTGAATTTATGAATATCATTGTACTTATTATGCATATAATTTTTTGAATCAATATGATATTTTTCTGTCATATCAATCCAAAGTAATGACTTTATTAATATATATTTCACAGTTGAAAAGTTTTTAAATAAAATAAATACTTATATTTTTAATTTACTCAAACTTGGCATGCATGATATACGTGAATAGAACATGAAATTCAATAGTTGGAAAAACGTGATGACCAAAATAGAAAAACGATAATAGTTTAGTGACCAATAAGGTAGTTTACCTTCCAAATTTCATTGTGCGTGATTAAACATGGTTTTCTGTCATCTACATACATTCATTTGAATTTTCGGGCAATGCCATCTACCTCGCTACTTTTGCAGGGTGATAAGAATATTATCAAATTCGAGGGAGATCACAACTCTCCCCGTCAGTTTTACTTTGATTCCGTAAATATCTTTTTTCACAATGTCCTGCAACCTCCTGAGGACGAGGCAGGTGCAACTTTTTATGACTTTGGCAAGGTAAGCTCTGCTCTAAAAATATCTATGGTGGTAGTCGTTTTATTACAAGTCCCCAGACGTCATACCCACAATTCTTGGTTAATTCATAACTGATTTACATTCAGGCTAGTTGGGCCGTCCCTGAAGTTGGCTTTTTCCCAGATTCTCCAGCTGCATCTGAAGGTACTACTTGTATTTCTTCTCTCAAATGCCTAGGTTTGCTACTCCCGTTAATTGTATTATCTTACACCGTCTTACTGTTTCGAGCAACTAGCAGCACATCGGATGCCATTAAACAAGTTCGTTCTAAAAGACCCATGGGTCGATCAGAGGTTAGTTCTAATTGCTTCTTCTTCTTTTTTCGTTTTTCAAGAATGACTTGTATATATTTTCTTCAAACATTCATCTTAAATTGACTGGAAAGCAATAGAATGAATTCAAAATCATTGTAAACAGTTCTGTCCTTCCATTGCTGTTTTTCGTTTATCGTATAAATTTAAAAGGAAATGCAAGTTTATTATTATTGTTGCCTTTTTTATTAATTGTGTCTAATATTTGCAGCTTTGATTATACTCAGGTTCCTTCTGACATACCATCTGAAGAAAATAACCCTGGATGTCGGGTATTTTTCTCCGCTTTTGACTTTGTGGAATGCATAGCGAAGAATTTACAAATGGATGCAGTACGAAAGCACTTGTAATTGACGGTGGCACTAGGATTTTTAAAAAAAATGACAAATGGTGCGGAAGATAAAGGCATTCCGTGTTACTGATACTAAACAGTAGTTGCTGCAGAATAAAAATACCGATGATGATAATTGTTCGTCGCCATCCAATATGATAAGTTTTGAATTATCCAATGGTCATCCATTTGGCCCTCATGTGCTAACAACAATGGATGATGATCGGTTTGTGGAATATCAACTGGATGACTTCACAGGCTTTCCATGTAATGTGGAGGAAGAAGAGAGGGTGAGTTGAAACATTCATCTTTCACTTTGTGCAGAACAATTCATGGCTATTTAATTGACCCTAATCCTTTGTGAAATTTTCCTTGATCGGTTCAGATGTTAATGGAAGCCATAATTGAGTCCTTAAAAGACTTAGACATACCACATCCTCAAATGGAAGAGCTACCAAAGACCTGTGCTGATTCTTCGGAGTCTTTAAGGAAAGATGAAATAAATGGAAGGGATGCTTGTTCGACAGTAGAAAAGGGCAGCTCCGTGCCCCTGGAGTTCACGTCCACCGGAGTGGAACATCATCAATCCACCATAGTAGCCAGTGGCTCTGATGTCGGCATCAAGCAAGCATCCCCTGATACTAGTTTCTCGTCTTCGGGACACGCATTCGATACACCTCCATTGACCGAGGAATCAGGGAACACAAGTAGTGATACCTCAGAAAGTACCCAAAATTCATCTGAACCGGTCATGTCAGGTTGCACAAAAGCCACTGTAACAGTGGTACGGAACCCCTCTAATAACATCATGGATGGTTTGAAGCATCGGTGGGATCTCAACTTCTTTCGAAACAGTCGATGAAAGTTAAGATGACATTGTATGGATAGCCTGATGATTGTATATAATTTGTAGTTCGGTGAGGAAAATAAGAAATTTGGGTTTTGTTGTTTTTGGTGGAAAAAGATGAAATGATATTTTGCACAATTAGGGACTGTATGGCAATACCTGTTACCAGAAATCCTCTGCTCTGCTCTGCTCTGCTCTGCTCTGCTCTGCTCTGTATGTTATACGGTAAATAATATAATTGCTTAAAGGGTGTTGGTAGTCAATTTCCTTTTTACCGATAAAATAATCTTCTTTACAGTTCTGAAACGACGGCTATTTAGGTTGGAAACATGATAGTCAGAAATTTTGGCATAATATAAAAAAATATTTATAATGCTAGATTAAATAGTCATTTTGGTTCATATTATTTTTGATTTAATATAAAAATAAGTGTTCAAAATATATCTAAAGTTAACTTTTATTGTTTGAAGAATTTTTCATTAAAAACATTGTCTAACATTTTCTCTGTTATATTTTTATGTGTCAACCGTTAAAAAAATTGTTAAGTGACATATGTCATGTTTAAATCATATTTTTTTATAAAAAAATTCAAAAAAATATAAACGTGACACATGTTACTTAACGGTTTTTTCAACGGTAGATACCTAAAAGTGTAACAGAAAAAACGTTAGAAAAAGAATTTAATAGGGTATCATATGCCGAAAATTTGTAGTCATTAACCTTTACATGTTGTATCAATGTGTTTGTTTTTGTATTTGCTTCAATGCCAGTCCTGCACAAAACTGATATCAAGAAAGAAAAGGATATAAATCCTAGTATTCTCATAGTTATTCTAACTCATTACACTGATTACTGGTTGGAGAAAAAGATGACGCAATTGCTGTTATGAGTTCATCATATTCACCGTCACATTTCAATTATATTTAATTATGTTATATTTTATTTTATTAGTGTAGTTGTCACATGTAATTTGTGTCTTTACTTTACTGTAAGTTTTAATTTTATTTTATATATTTTGTAATGTCCTAAATTATATTTATTTCAATAAAAGTTACACTCTGAAAAGAATAATATATATGATTTATTTTTTTTGAAATGAAATGTTGATATCAACTTTTTTTTACAAGTTTTAATCTTTTTTTATTTGTTTTATAGTGTGATAGAAAAAAAAATAAAAAATGTTAATATTCTAAAAAGAACAAAATAATATTATTGTTTCGTTATGTTTGGATCAATTTCACTAAAAAAAACCCCAAAAAATTGAGGGTCGGGCTCACCCTGAAATTCGAATTTTTTTCGATTAGTCATCTATTTTATTGATGGTATCCACCCTAAAAATTTATTGTACCCACCTTGAAATTTTAAAATTTATTCGATTATGACCTATTTTATTGATGATATCCACCCTGAAATTTTATTTATGTCTACCTCGTTCAAAAATTTTATATCCTTAACATATATATATTCATCCTAAAAAGTATTTTTGAATCTGTCACTGATTTAACGACTGCGGCTTGCAATTACTATTTCTTTGTTTGTTGGGCGTCAAAAGCGGCAAAAGTGCCCAAATAAATATGTGAGAATGTTTAATTCCTAATCTAATGCACTCATTCGATTAATTCCTGATTTAGGGTATTTTCTATAGGATTTTGGGATCTCTCTGTGTTGATTATTTCTTGGGATCTCTAGGCGTCTTCAATTGAAATCCATGGAAAAAAATTGGTGTTTTTACACAAATATCACCTTAACATAAATTAATTACTTGTTAGGCACTGTTTAAGATGATTTTACGGATCTAGCAAATTTTTAAATATTTTCTATAAAATTATTCATGCATTAAATTACACAATACAATTATGTCTGTCAATTACCACTTGACACTTTCTGATGCGTTTTTGACCCTTTCAAAATCATATACGTATAGTATATTCTATGCGGTGAATGTGTCGCCTTTCTGCAAAATTATTTTTTCAAAATCCTAGAATATAGTATACGTATAGGATTTTGAAAGGGTAAAAAACACATCAGAAAGTGTTAAGTGATAATTGGTAGACATAATTGTATTGTGTAATTTAATGCAGGAATAATTTTATAGGAAATATTTAAAAATTTACTAGATCAGTAAAATATCCTTAAATATTTATATTTCATACACCCTTTGAGATAATATTCCCGATCTAACACCCTTTGCAGAAAGGCGAGACCCATGCTGGATGGAAATGGAAAGCGGTCTACTTCGTTTGGATGAAAATTTGTATAAGTTAACGGAAACAATGATATTGGATATATGTACTGAAGCAACGACATTCTTCTAGTTGAGAGGATTGTTGTGAATGTTTACGAGTTGAGAGTGTATTTATAGTCGAGAAAAAAGTTTAAAAGCTATGCATGAGTCGTGCCTTTTTGCAAAGGGTGTTAGATCGGGAATATTATCTCAAAGGGTGTCTAAAACGTAAATATTTAAGGAAAAGGTGTTTTTTGGTAAAATTGCCAAAAATGCACAGTAAGCAAAAAAAATTAACTAAAGACGCCCAGTAATTCATGTATAAAAATTTAAGCCTAAAGACGCCGAGATGTCCTGAGATCTTTAGGTGATTACTATAAAAAATACGTTAGATAAAGAAATAATGTTAGAATCACGTTAGTTTAGAAATTAAAGACTCCTGTAGCTTTTGCCGTTGATCTCTTTGCATGCCAATCTGTAAAAAAGGAAAAAGGTGGGTCAAATCAAACATAAGTAGGTATTTAAATAGCAGTTGCATGACTAACGGTTGTTATATGGTGATAATGGTAGTGTTCAAAATTGTTACTACCAAAAATGATGGTATAAAACATAATTTCACTAATAACAGTAGATCATGATCGTAATTTAACGAGTATCGGCTAATTACGATAATAGTGACAGTTACTTCTGCTATTGTTTTGCTATTCTATTTTTTTTTTATAAAAAATCAACTCCATTCTTTTTTAAAAAAAAATCAATTCCTTCAAAAGAATTCATGAGTTTAATGTTCGTAATGACTACAATAGCAGTTTTTATATTCACAACCGTAATAAATGTAACGCGATTGAAAATGCAACCGTAACTGCAATTTAAATTCTTGGAAAAGCGAAAGGAAAAAAAAGGATTAGATTTGGTTCAAGTGACACTAACCCCGTGGCTAGCAAAGTGAGTGCCCAAGTGAGGAGGGATGAAGCAGCTGCTGCATTTAAATTAGGAGCATCCCATTGAATGACATTGGTGAGGCCGGTAACCGAGGTGGAGACACCCACAACACCGGGACGAGGGAGAAAATGACGAATAAACCTAGAGATCCCAAGAAATAATCAACACAACTAAAGACGTTGAGAGATCTTAAAATTCTGTAAAAAAACACCCTAAATCAAAAATTAATCGGATGAGTGCATTAGATTAAAAATTAAACATTCCCACATCCTTATTTGGACACTTTTGCCGGATAGATGCCAATTTGGTACAGCCTAAATTGTATTTTCCAACCACAAAAAGGATTTCATGTAATTCCAAGTTTTATTGGAATTTGACCAAAGATATTTATTTGTATTTTTATTGTTAATCAATTTTCATTCTCTTAAAATTTTATAAATTCATTTACTAACATAAAATTCTACGTCCGTCCTTAATACAGCAGACTCTAGAAGTGCTGACGATAATTGTGAGCGGTACGCAGCTGTTTTGCACGGGTGCCATCCATGCTGGGGCTGAAGATGCTTCTCTAAACAGAATGCTATCTGCTTCTGCTTGAACTGTTTGAGTCAACTGTATAACCAAAACTGCTGATAAATTATGATAACTCCACTGAATTTCTGAGTGTTTCAAATTCAATGTTATTTAAAATCTTCTGAAATTTCGTTTTTCTTTATTTAAAATCTCTTTTATCAGTTCCTACCCCTTATGACTATATTACTTGTTTCTTCACCTCATATTATCATTAGAAAGCAGGGTAATTTAACTATAATTTTTATTTTATTTTAATCACCTAATTATTTTTTAGATCACACTTGATGTTACTTCACCTACCGTAAAAAAATTAACAGTGATGTCGACATATCAACATAAGGTAATTTCACGTCATCATTTAAAAATAAAAAATGTCGGATCAACAATTATGTTATTTTTTTAACAGTGGGTGATCAAAAGGAAACCAAAACATAACGTTAGATATAATTTTTTTTAAAAAAAATAGACATCATCCTAATGAATGTCAGTTGCAGCAGCTCTATCAACTATACTTACATAATGTATTATCGGGGGGGATGCATGAACAAAGATGAACAGACTTACAGTGCAAAGGTTATTTGTTATTTCTTCATACGATATTTTCGACTTGTCAGGCATAATCTGACAATGCAATATAAAAGAGCACTTGTTCAAATTGGAGAAATGAAAGAAAAACCGAGTAATAACAACAGCAGCATGAACTAAGAGCAAGGAATGGCAGGTAACAGAACTAGCAAGATATTTGCAAATAGAAATCAACAAAATATTTGTTATAGGTCAGGAGATAACCATCAAGATTAAAAAAGATCCAAGAAGTCAACAGTTTCCTAAGAACTTCTAAAATATATACCTATGTATGTAAATAAAATAGCATCAAATGTGAGTGAGATGTACAAATATTATAACATCATAACGTGTAAATAACACTTATTATCTTATCTACAATAACAGAAAATAGAGATGAAACAGTGATTTACCTATTAAAGAGCTGTACATTCATATATGCAAAATTTTGAGTGACAATCTTCTGAGCAAGTATTGGGGGCACCTAGAAAGAAACTGTAACATAAGCTCGTGGTTCATGAAAAATACGGAGAAGTCCACTAAAATACTATGAAAACTGAAAACTACGCACAAAATTTTCTTTTAATGTGGTCAGCATCTGGTTCAGGCATTCAATAATGTTCTGCCAGTGACTGGCAGGAGAAGTATCGTCTTTTGATTCTTCAGATGTTTTTGGTTCAAGCATATGGAGTAATGCACTATCAACATAAGAAATTCCAATTCCAAGATAAAAATAGTTATTTTCATCCATAGAGGCGTAGGAAATTAATCAGGAATGGCATTTTGACACTCTTTTATTAACACAAGTTTAAAAGAAACAATAGACAGCAGAATCACACACTAGACTAATCCTAAACATTGCACAAATCACAAATGCATTCACCTTACAGAGCAATTCAAACTACTTACACCGCGCATGATTTCTTCTGGTGTGGCAAAATCATGTAAAAGATGGGACATAAGCTTAATAAGTTCAAGAAATTTTCCGTTATTTTTCATTTGGAATTTTAGACTACTTATACAAGAAATTATCTTATTTTAGTGCTTGGAATTTGAAAATTACTAGAAATTAGTAAGCAGGAAATCAAGAAATGATACTAAGTAATAAAAGTAAAATAATATCGGCTTATTGGTGCTGGAAAAAGCCTTCGAACTTCTTAAAAAAATCACTAGGCCCTAAAATAGTTTTGCTCCCAATTAAGCCTCTATACCTTAGAGTATCATCAATCCTTTGACCCATGAATTTAATGGGTTCCATATCCTACATCATGGTCTTGTTGCATAATATTTCTACACATTTTTTATTTTATTTAGAAATTTCTTTAAAATTTCTAAAAAAACACTTAAAAATATTTAAAAAAAATTAAAATTATAAAAATATATATATATTTAAAAATTCTGCAAATGTACATGGCAGAATCATAGTGCGACACGTCACAATAATATCTTAGAAAAAAAAACTCGTTGAAACTTGATGGTTAGAATTGGTCAAAGTACTTAATTGATTCAATTTCTCTGTTTAAAGATTTAATTAAGACAAAAAAGAGTTCAGAAGCTTAATTTATTTTTCTTCTAAAGTTTAAGGACTTCAGACACCCTTGATAAACTAGAAATTGATAAATTAATAGACTATTAACACTTCCTCTCTGGGTGATTAATAGATATTCATCATTCCTAGCCAGTGTTTTGAAAATCGGACCGGACCGGCCGGTTCAACCGAGAATCGTTGTCTAGTCCGGTTCAATTTACACCGATTGAACCGCTACTAGTGAACCGACTGGAACTGTTAAACCGTTCAAAACAGACCGGTTGAAAACCGGAAAAAATCAGAAAAAACCGTCAATTTTATTTTTTTGTTTTAAATTAAACCAAACGACGTCGTTTGTTAAACAAGCCAAGTCGAACTCGAGTATTGCTGAGCTTGACTCGAACTTGAAAACTTTAAAAGTAAGCTCAACCCGACTCAAACTCACGAGCTAAAAATTATCAAGTTCAACTCAAACTCGAAATATAATATTGAAACTTGAACTCAAAAAGGTTTGAACTAAAAAAAAAAATTTAAAAGCTCGATTGAAGCCTAAAATTCGAGCTTGATTGAAGTGAAAGAATAGTTCACTCAATGCTCACCAAAAGGCTCTATGATTTTGAATGCCAAATTACCTCTATTATTTATAGAAATTAGTTGGGATGCTTTTCTATGTTTCTTAGCCATGTGAGATTGTTTTTTTTTTAAAAATTAAACCAAACAATATCATTTTGTTATGATTTTTTAGCCCCAAATTTATTTTTTAATTATAGTTATATAATTATATTTATTATTTAATATGTTTTACCTTAAATATTATGTTGTAGTTAATTTGAATCATTTTGTTTCACTTGATTTTATGGTTTTTAACTTATATATGTTATGACTTGTTTTGAATATAACTTGTGATATAAAAATTATTTTTTATTAATTATTTTTAGTATTTTTATTTAATTTTTTAAATAATTATGACATCGTCCGATTCTTTCGACCGATTAAACCGATTCAACCAATTAAACTAATGAACCGATAACATGACCGATTGTCTAGTTCTGAAAACCCATGTTCCTAGCTCGCCTACTAGTACTGCAGTACTTGGTCTAGGCATCCTCTTACATCTTCTATATGCAGTAACATTAAATTATCCCTTTCTATTTTTTCTTTGATAAATGCCGATCCATCTCAACCTATTTAAAAACTGCTTTTCCTCTTTTTTAGTCGAATAGAAAATTCAGTGAAATATTCATGTTCACTTAAATTTACATAGTGTCAGAGCTAGGCTCTAGACCCTAGTATAACACACCTCCTCCTCCTCTCCTCCTCGAAAGTTAATTCCTTGGCTTCTTGGAACGCACCAGTGTCCTTGGCAGCCTTCATCTTAAAGTTCTTTAACTTCCTGTTCCAGCCTTTCCTTGACTTCTTGGAGTGCGCCAGTTTCCTTGGCAGCCTGTAGACGGATAAAAGCTTCTTTTTTCTTTTTTGGTTGACAGGGTGCACTATCAGCAACCGCTCAGGATCCTCAATGTTTTTATATTTATAATTAGGACCTTTAATATTTTACATTTATAATTAGAGTCTCTAATTTATATAAATTTATATTTTTTTAGTTTTGATCATCTTTTCTATTTTTCTTATTAATTCATTCAATTTTGAATTAAATTTAACCAAATTTTTACATTTATAATTAGGGCCTAATTTTTATAATTTCATAAACTATTTAATTTTTTACCCTCTTTTTCCATTTCTCTTATTTATTTATTTAATTTTGAATTAAATTTAATCATGGTTTTAGAAATGACCATTCAGCTCAGTTGGTAGAGCACAAGGTTCTTAACCTTGAGGTCGTGGGATCGAGTCCCATGGAGGGCATTTCATAATTCGGAGGTCTCTTACGAAAGTTGCTCTCAACCTGGTATTGGGGGTAGCCTACTATCTTATCTCCCCCTACCTCATACATATGGGAAAAAAGGACAGTCATTTTTTTTAATCATGGTTTTCTCTTTTTTCAAATTTTACTCTTCAATTTATCAAATATTCTTTAATTTTTAATCTTCTTCATTCTCAATCTAACAATAAAATAATATACAATTTATTTATTTATTTATTATTCAAAATCAAGCTATGTATCATACATGCATTCAATTTTTTTATATTTATTCTTTTTTAGTTGTATTTAAAGTGTTTTCTTAATAGAATAATAAAAACAATATATTTTTACAAAATTTAATCATTTTTCTATGATTTATTTATGTAATATTGAATTAATTGTTCAAAGTAATGAAATATACTTTCATTTATAGAGGTATATTTTTGAATTTTCACTCAATGTCCCGAAAATGTCTAAGACAACTTTGTTGGTTGAAGTGTAACATTCCGATCGAACCCTAGCGCCAACCATCGGAGTAGGTTTGAATTATCACATCGGCCTCCGAAGATTGCCTATATCTGACCGGCCAATCATACAGGAGAGGATGATATATTGGCAATCAAATACGTTTTAGAAGCGACAATTCATTTTTCAAGTAACAGTTGCAGAGAAACTAATATAAACTACAAGCACACATAGCTTCACTGAGATCACAATATCATCATCATCAGATAATACATCAGGATCACAATATCATCATCATCAGATAATACATCAGCTTTCTCATTTAAGTAAATACACTTTATACCATGTAGGGAAACTTTCGACGTGTAGAGGGTTACTCACGGGTAAGCATTTGATCGATATCGCCCTTGTGATTGTAAGCGTCGACAAGTTTCTTCGCGTATGAAGGAATATGCCTATCAGCTCTGCATGCATTTGATGTTTTCATGATTAAAGTTAACTCTATCCTGGTGGTGTATCATAAATTAATTTCCATGTATGAATATACCTTTGTTTTCCCCAGGCGCGGTTCACATACAAATAGTTCCTTATAGTATGGTAATCAAGTGAATATCGAGCAAATTCCAGACCCTTTGGCCCAATCTGAACAAAATTAGGACAATAAGAAAGCTTTTCATATTCAGCTGCCTTTCCATAACAAAAGAATTGTATATATGTAAGAATCCTTACCAAGTTTAACACAAAAGCTATCAAATTCCCAATAAACCTAGGGGCAGGTTGAGAAGGACCCCTTCCTGAAGGCAAAAAAATAGAATAACAAATTATGATATAGTGCAGACTTCATGAATCCTCTAAATAAGTTTCAGCTCATTTGAAGATAAGCAACATAGGGAATATATATATATATATATATATATATATATGTATGCGCAATTATCAACAGTTGTACCAGTAGTCGATATAATGTATCTAAGCTTACTTGTATGAAGACAAGAATCTCCACTTTACTTTTAATGAAGAAAAAAGCTAGAAAAAATTTGCTAAGCAGCATAAATAAATTCACAAGACCTCTTCCATATTTCCAATTTAAAGCTTGAAACCAATGCTTATGCACTGCGGTTGAAAGTCAAAACTGTTTTCATGGCTAAACAGAAGAAGCCATACATACCGAGCTTAGCATTATCATCTGCTTTAACAGTCTCCATCACGAATGGTTGCCGATTACCCTGAAATGAAACGTCTGTAATCAGTTTTCCTCCCCAAATCCTCTAGCAGCTCAACAGGATATAGCTTAGGATTTTACACTACTAGTTGTTGGAGTGATCTCCAAAAGGTTCTCAACCAAACTTAGCATTTCTCTGCCACGTTCATTTCTACAGTAAAACGCATTGAAATGAAAATCTAAGTTCTCTTGGGATTTGAAGCAACTCGAGCATATTTATGGAAAAAAAAGAATGCAACAACTAGATTAGAATGATCCAATATTATAAAACCAAAAAAAAAATGCAGTAACTCGCTTTAGCAAGCAGCTTGTGCATTTGAAGTCGAGGAGAAAGCACCTAACAGTAACATATTGTGGATGCTGTGTCATGCTGATTCCAGAATATTTTGGTACACCCATATATCCAACCACCAGATCCTGCGTTGGCCAAAAAAAAGGATTATTCTAAGTCGAGTCATGTCAGAAATAAGTGCAAGATAACTTCCACGTATTAACTCCATTGTTCTTTCCTTCTCTCTCGATTTATTCTCTTAGATTACAAGAGTAAAGATATTGAGTAAACACACAAGGCATTCCTATTAGCACGGGTTAAAAAATTTCAAGGACAACCTTGCATAAATAATTAAAAGAAAAAACTCACCGCTAATGCATTTGTGTAATCAAAACAGCTGCAAAACA